CTCTGGTCAAATTAAAAGAAAAATAATTATAATACATAAAATTTAAATAAATAATTCTTAAAGGATAAATTAAAATCTTAAAAAGAAAGTTTGTGGAAGAATGGAATTAAAGTAATATGCATTTTCTTTAAACATTTTCTGTTTTAAAAATCTGTGAGCATCCACATGTGCTTGCCAGTAAGGTACAGAGAGAGAGGGAGTGGGAGAAAGCACCTACTATGGGACATGGTCACATATCCCTTTCTCCATCGTTTCAGGACGTGGGGCACGGATGCACATGTGCTGGCATGGTTCTCAAGCTGCTGGGTCCAGGACTCAAACCGCATGGTCAGCCATGTAGGATCCGGCTCCAGTGACCACCAAGCCGTGGGCTTGCCCTCCATGAACTTTTAGAAGATCCTTTGTACACCCTTGGAGACAGGAGGGAAGGGGTACTGGGAGGAGTGGCTTTCCTACAGCAGGAGTGGGGTCAGGTGCCTGGGCACCTCCACCTGCTTGAAACGACAGCCCCCCCAGCCAAACGTCTCATGCTCCCTCTCCATGCCAACTTTACACGTGTCACCTCGTGAAACCCTCACCATAGCCCTGTGGGCCAGTGGTTTCATCACTCTCATTTTCCAGGTAAGGACATTAAGTCACAGAGAGGGGAAAGCAGCGTAGAGATTCCAAGTCAGTGGAGTCCCAGAGTGACAAAGGGAAGATGGCCAAGGAGGATAGAGGTCTGAAGGGGATCGATTCCTCTTGGCAAAATTGTACTATTGCAACTGGGTGGGGGGTGGGGGAGTATGTTGAAATTAGTGAGTTTTCTGGTAGTTACTTCACGTAATATTACTGACTGACAATGTTGTCCCTTAAGTCATCAAAAGGTTGCTAACTTGTTGATTCACAAACAGAGAGGTAGGTTTCTCCTACAGACAGTTAAAATATATCTAGGACTGGCAGGAATGTTCTAGAAATTGCATGATCAAGGTGATTTTTTTTTAAAGTGATTTTTTCTGACTTATTTTCTGATTGTGTATTTTTCAACTCTATTTGTTGGAAAATGTTCTAAAACCCTAGGGAGGAAGGCAAGACCACCCAAGCGATGACTGAGGCTCTTCCCTCACTCAACCCCAGTGGACTCTGATTTGAAATTGTCTTACTGAAGTTCCCTAATCTGCTTGCTTTATTGTTATTTTCATCTTTGAGCACAGAAAGGAAATTCTAGTTTGTCAGTGGCTTATTTTAAAAATTTGTTATAATTTACCATAAGGTGTGTGTGCTCGCTGGAGAGAGAGAGAAGGAGCAAGTGAGCGAGCACTCCCAGAGCGTATGGCCACGCCGCAATTCCTTCTCCTCCATTCTGCGCTCGAGATTTTGGGCACGCACACACACACATGTGGTGTGTTTCTCAAACCACTGGGTCTAGGCCTTGAATTGTGCAGTTGGCCATGTGGGATTCAGCTGCCTTAACCATCATACCACGGACTAGACTGATGGCTTATTCTTTTATCCACACTGTAATGATTCAGTGTGCTGGCATTGGAGCCAGATGGATTCAAATTTCAATCCTAGTTCTGATGCTTATTTATTTATTTATTTTTGGAGAGGTTTTTGCTATAGGGCGCATGCGCTCGCCAGAAAGACAGAGAGAGATAGAGAGACAGAAAGCGAGAAATCACCCCCCGGGGGGATGGCCATACTGCAATCCCTTCTCCTCCATTCTCCTCTCGGGATCTTGGGCACGCACGCACACGTACCTGGTGTGAGTTTAAGCCACCAGGTCCGGGATTTGAACCTTAGTCAACTACATGGGAGTCCAGCGATGTAGCCATTATGCCACCTGCTGGTCCTTGTTGCTTATTTTTGATATGACCTTGGGCAAGGTTTTTTCTAAGCCTTTGTTTTCCAATTGTAATCTATTTCACAGGGATTAATTATGGCGGGAATTGATGAGATAATATAAGACACTCAGGAATGCAATCAAAGGTAGTATTTCCTTTACTGTCTTTATCATTTACTGAGTCTCCATGACGATGTCTGTACCGCAGGCCTGGATTAGTCCTTAGGCTGGGGCGGGGGTATACAGATCACTGAAAAGCACAGTCCCTCCTCTGTGAGAGTGCTTGGAGAAATCACAGGTGCACACCCCCCCCCACACACATACACACACACACACACTCCTTCACAAAGTGGAACTCCTTGGGCAGCAATTTTGGGGAAAATACTGAGCAGAAATGGTCTAGGCTGCTGCTTCTCTTTTTTCTTTTTCTATCTCCAGCTCCAGGCACCTGTGATCATGGGCGTGTGTCCTCAGCCTTTCTCATGCCACTGCCAGGCCCTGCCTTCTTCTCCTTTTTTTTTTTTCTTTTCCTTCTTTTAGAAAGTTCTGCTATAGGTTGTGAGCACTTGTCAGAGAGCCAGAACTTGCTGAAGAGACAGAGAGAGAAAGTGAGAAATCATCCCCCCAGGAGGGATGGCCACACGACAAGCTCTTTCCCAACACTCCCTACACTTTCTTCTTGGGATCTTGGGCACTCACACACACACACACACACACACACACACACACACACACACACACACACCTGGCGTGAATATTTTTAAGCTGCCAGGTCTGGGACTTGAACCGCAATTAGCTATATGGGAGTTCAGTGCCTTAACCACTACACCACCTGCTGGCCTCCTGGCTTTCTTGTTTTAAGAGGCTGTTTAATGGCCGGTGGTGCACAGACCAGGATGAAGAAACGAGCAGCATGTGTTTGGGCTGTCAGACGACCGGCCCGACAGACTGGGCTGGACGTGTAGAGAGGCGTGGGAGAAAAACCTTTGAAGCCAGCGAAGGCCACGCATGACAACAATATTATTGGTAAGAATAGGAACAGCAAGCGCCATTTATTGGGCTCCTCTGTGAGGCCGGGTGGTTATGCTATACCCTTTCCGTAGGTTTTCTCAGTCTTCACAACCTCCCTGCGGGGTAGGTAGCATCACAGTTTTTCAAGAAAGCGGAGGCTCAAGAGGTTGGGTGACTTAAGAGGTTGGGTGACTTGTCTCAGAACATATCTAGAAATGGAAATGGGCAGACTCGCGATCTGAATGCGTGTGTACACACAGACACCGACATGGACAGATACACATACACACAGGGGCCAGGGCCCAGGCGGGAGATAGCTCTTTGCCTCTCATCCCTTGCGCCTCTCTCCTCTGTGGAGTTGGGTGCTAGTTCTTTCCTTGGAGGGCTGCAGTGTGACAAAGGGACCCCTTCACTCTCCTCAACTCTGCCTTAGCTCTTCCTGTGGCTTCTGTGCCCAGGATAGGTACCCAGAGGCCTGGCTGGGGCAGTACTTAAGGTGCTCACTCTCAAGGCCAGCCCACTGCTTGCAGGACCCCGCAGAGAGCAAGCACCTCCTTACGTGTGAGTCTGTCCAGCTGCCCCTCCCTAGGTCTGACCCTGTATTGGGGTGGGGTGGGGGTGCTTTATAGCTTGCTGCATCGGTAAGAAGAGTCTCCGTCTTCCAAGGTCAGGCAGCAATTCTTGGGGCCCAAATCGTGGCTCTCATTTCTGCCCCACATGAGCAGTGGGGCAGGGTTCGAACTCTGATAATCTAGCCACTGCTCAAATCCCCCTTCCTCAGGGTCTGCGCAGCCCAGCCCACCTCTCCTGTCCCTGCATCTCCAAGTAGCCCCAATCCCAGCCCTGGCCCATACCCCATTCCTTCCTGCCCCAGAGGGCCATTCTGGCTGGACAGGCTCCAGTATGGTGCCAGGGGCCTGTGCTGTGGGTCACGGCACAGGCCTCAGGGGCTGGGAAGTTCAATGTTGCTCTCCCACACCCTCTAGAGGTTTAGGGTGGCACTGGGTGAGGTGCCCAGAGGGACCCTGACTGAGGAGGGGGCTCTGGGCCTCCAGAGAATGTCCCGAAGGTGTCCACAGGTAAGCAAGGGCTTTATCTGAAGTCCTGTTGCTAGCTTCCCAGCAAGACTGTTCCGTCAAGCCCTAGGGGTTCAAGGCCCCCCATGCCTATCAGGGTTTGGAGGATCTTCCTTCCTGTGGGCCAGAGGAGTGCCCCAGTTTGCATCCAGACAGCCCAGCAGGGCATCCCTGTTGGCTTCTCAGCTTCCCCTTGGACAGCTTTGAGGAGGCTGTCCCTGCTAACCTTGAGTGGGGATGGGTGTGACATGCCCTGTCCTGGGGGACCAGGAATCCCAGAGGAGCTCTGGGGCGGGAGGGGAGGGCATGTGAGGAGTGTGTCTGAGGTGACTGTGCTGTTGATGTGGACAGGCCCTGGGAGATGGTGGGAGAACAGTCCAACCCCTGGTTTGGGAGATCAGATGGAAGGGGGAGGACAAGGCTGAGAGCCTGGCGCGTGGGTGGAGAGGCAACAGGAGCTGTGGGATCATTTAGCAAGCCTTTCTGGGCCTCCAGGGGGGGCAGGGCAGTCCCCCTTGCTCACAGCCCAAATCCCAAAGTTCATTTGCCTAATAGCCCTTCCCTCACCTGGCCCCCAACAAGGTGGGAAGTCCTGGTCATTGTTCAAAAAAAAAAAAAAAAAGGTGAGTAGAGGGAAAG